TAGTTATATGAGAAAAACGGCAACAGTAGGGAGGGAAAAGAAATCAGAAAACTTCATGTTGAATCAAGTTAACCGTGCAGAGAGTGGGCAAAGTACAGATCTGATAAACTGAACTTTGCTCTAAAGATCAATTTTAGTAGTAGGAAGTAGTATTAAATTCAGTAGTGGTAGTCAAGTGTAAGTACAGTAAACGGCAACAAATAGCAAAAGGAGCAATGAGACTGAAAAACGAGAAAGTGTTATTCTCATTGAGGGTGAAGAAGTGCAAAATTTTCTGTTAAAGTGTCAGTTCAAAATTTTTGACACAAAACATTTTTGGCTAGGAATAAGATTGAAACTGAGACTTGAGAACAGTGTTGAGATGTAAGAGGTGTTAATATAATTAAGTCATAATGTGGTCTCTACAGGGGTCTATCGGTGCTACAGACTTTAAAAAGTTGGTCTCTCATTACAATAGAGCTGTGCAGAACTTTGTCTTGGCTGTGCTCGTTATTGTGATAATAAACGGGTGCTTACCAGTTCTTTGAATGATATAAAGTACGTAAACTGCGGTGGACCAGTTTTTCTGTGGCGTATGCCAATATTGTTGCTAAAAATGCCGGTTATTTTATTGGTGAACTTTGAAATTACTGTTTACTCAAAAGAAATTTTTTTATGTAGTTTGAACCGAAAAAATAAAACTGAAGTTTGCTGGTGTACTACAGTCAAATTTTTCTATATACAATCTTAGTCATTCAAAGTGACGGAGTAAGATTTTTTCTGCTAGTTATGTTTGAAGAAAGAAAAAATTATTGAAGGAAATGTTTGGGTATACCAATGTTAAACAGTGAAGTGCTATGGTAATGAAGAGGTAGGCTACGGAAATGATAAGTGTATGAAGAAATTTTTTGATCAAAATAATCATCAAACCAGCTTGGAATACATAAGTTGAGGATAGGGCGATAGCAAATACCACAATACTGAACACTATGCAAGTGTCTTGTAGGCTGCAATAAAAACAAAGAAAGATTTTTATAACAGGTGGAGTATTAGGTGCTTTTTTTTTTCTTTTTTTGCACATTCTTGAAATAAACTATTAAATACAGTCATTCATTGCATCTTCTAAAGTTTTAAATTTCAAAGTATTTTTATTTTTTTAATACGTAATTCTCTATTTATTATAGGAAATAGAGAATAATAAAAAATAAAATTGGTAAGTAATAAACAAGAGAGGAAATAAAAAGAAAAAAAAATTTTTACATGGATGTCATCAGAAGGACGGTATAGTTTCTGTTGTATAAGGTTGATACAATAGTAAGTGTAAGATCGGTAAGCAGTAAAAAATGTTGCAGTAAAAGTAAGAAGCAATATTTATTCCCCATAATTTTTTAGACTTTTTTTTTTTATTTTTTTTGACAGTTGTATGCTTCGTTTAATTCCTCTCGTTTTTTTTTTTTCGCCAGTTTATTTCAGACAACAATATTACAGTAAATATTTGAATTACCATTACCCGGGTTACTGAGGTTTTAGGTTCAGCAGTATTTTATATTTCATTGCCGTTGAAAGCAACATAACAATTACATTGATAGGCAGAAAAATGACTGATTATTAATCAATCGACTTGACAGGATAGAATTCAGCAACGTTGACGAAATGAAATAGCCGAAGTTACATTTTGTAGGAAGAAAAGCTGCAAATTTGTTACCTTGGAAACTGTGACGCTAAAAATTTGCACTGAATTATCTTGCAACAGCTTTTGAATATGTTTATCTAATGATCAAGCAGCTGGAAAGGTTTAGTGAAACAGCAAAATTGAACGACTAGTTTTGGTTGCAAACAGAAAAAAGGGTAACACTGGTAAATGAGTTTTTTTTTTTTTTTTTTTTTT